CAAATCTAAAGCACCTATCCATTTTTAGATATTTCAATTAGTTGTAGCGAAAAAAATATCTAAGTTAACACCAAAACGTTGTAGTTTTTAATACTTTATTAACGTTGGACGTAAAAATTCGCCAGTTTAGAGAAGAACATTATGACAATTGTAGTTACTGTACTTTATTACTGGTTTATTAAGATAAAAAATCTGCTTTACATGTTTCGACTATGAGTCATTATGAAAAGCGCTACAAGATAATGGCGAATAGTATTGAATTGGTCTTATAATTAATTAAAATGTTAAAAATTGGCGTTTAAACAAACTCGCACTTTTAACATTGTCAAAAAATTACATCACTCTTTATAGATGGTGTTATATAAAAAGGATTTTTGTAAAATAATTTATAATTTAACAAATTGAACACGTTAAAATGTAAAATTATCTGAACAGACGTTACAAGTAAAAATTTTATAAAATAAAATGGGTGAAATTCCAAGAAATATTCAACTTTTTGTTCAAAAACCAAAACAACAAAAATATCCAATGCTCATGTTCTCTTGTAAGAGAAAACTATTATATAAAGTGTTTATAGAAAACATATTCAATGAAAAAGCAAGACAATTATCACTAAAATATAAAAAATGTTTATTTTTATAAAGAACTATGTAAATTTTGGAGAATAATAAACCAATATAAAAATTTTGTTGCCCTCACTTGATACCCTACATTCGCGATATTATAAACTCATATATAGCTTCCGGCGTCTTTCCGAAAGCTTGGAAAAGCGTTAATAAATTAAGCCGTTGCCCAAAATTAATAAACCGTCAGGTTTTAACGATTTGAGACCCATTAGCATCCTGCCTGTGCTCTCAAAAATTGCTGAACGAATCTTATATGAACAAATGGCGACCTTTGTGGAGGAGAACAACATTTTCCCACAGAATCAATCAGGCTTTAGACGAAGTTATAGTTGTACTACTGCACTTACACACATTATAGACGATGTTGTCTGGGCAACTGACAGGGGTAACGTGACTATCCTTTGCTTGTTGGGCTATTCCAAGGCATTCGATACGGTCGACCATGAGACTCTTGTATCAATCTTAAAGTATTTGGGGTTCAATAATAAGGCAGTATGTTTAATGCATGACTTTCTTTCGGAGAAAGAACAAACGATGTCTGTGAACGTTCAACAGTCTGATTTTCAGCGTATTGGGTCTAGGGTGCCACAGGTGTCTATACTGTCTCCATTACTTTATGCTGTATATACGTCAAACTTCGATCAACAGATTAAGTACTGTAAAGCACATTTTAGGCATGTGCACATATTAACAGCGATCTGCATTCCTTATGTGAGTTTTCTTACCACCATAGACTTAAACTTAATCAAATGAAATCGAATGTGATTATATTTGGTCCGAAGAAACAACAACAGATGGTCTTAAAAGAACTACGCAGTATAGTGAACAATGAAGTCTTGCCAATTCAGAAATCAGTTAAAAATTTGGGCATTGTGATCGATGAGAGTCTGAGTTTCAATGAAGACATTAACAAGTGCGTTCAGAAAGCTTATAACAGTTTAAGAATTATCTATAGCAATAGAGCTTTTGTGAATCGTAAAACAAAAATTCATCTATGTGAAAGATTAGTTCTATCCATATTTAACTACGGTGATGCCCTGTATGCCCCGTTTTTGGCATACTTATTAAAAAATAAAATTCAAAAGGTACAGAATAGTTGTATTAGACTGATATTTGGTTTAAAACGCAGAGATCACGTAACCTGTAAGTTGGCCACTTTGAAATGGTTAGACATGTAGAGGAGAAGATCGCTACACATCTTATGTTTATACTATAAAATAATGACCTTACAAAAACCTCCGTATCTGTCAAAAAAAGCACGTTTTCGTGCGGACGTGCACTCGGTCAATGTTAGATTTAGGGGTAAATTATCTCCACCAATATTTTATACCGTAAGTTTTAAAAGATGTTTTTCATATCAGATATGCAAAGTAATAAATGAACTTCCTATTTGTTGTGCATTGGCTGAGTGTGCGTCAATAGCCATTTGCAGAAGGCAAATAAAAAAACAGCACTGTTTATTTGGACAGCAGTGTTTTTGACATTTAGTCTTTGGTTTTTTTTTCTAATTAGGAGAACCCTTTCGGATATGTTTATTGGAAATTTCGAGAAAAATTTACACCTCACCATAGAACAAAAGAGATTTTATTCTATGGTGTGGTGGAAGATCAGTACATATTGAACCTCATCATAAGTTTGATCATCGTAGATATTTATTTGAAGTATTTTGTTCTTACATTTGTATTTTGTATACACCTGATGATCAAGAAACCATTATTACTATTATTATTACGGAGAAAAACTGTAATCTCAATGCAACATGCAGAAATTTGGTTTAATAGCAATAAAGTCATGTTAAATAGAGAGAAAACACAGGTTATACAGAATTACATAGTATTATTTGTACACGACTTGAAGGGGAAAGAGAAACCGTAAAATTTCTGAGAATTGTAAATTTCAAAACAGTGTCCAGTATATGTCCGGTAAACTAAGTTCAATAATGTACACCATTCTACACTATCGGGGTATTAAATAGAACAGCAACGTATGAAGCGGCTCGCCAAGCTTATTTTTCACTGTTTATAAAGCAAAAAGAAGCAGTAAGAGCTCTTTACAAATTAAATTCCAAGGAAAGTTGTAGGAATACAGGGTGATTCACATAAGAACCGACACAGAGCAGGGACATGTAGAGGACAATAAATTAAGATGATTTAACGTAACTTACCTCTATACAAAGTTGTANAGAAGCGCTACAAGATAATGGCGAATAGTATTGAATTGGTCTTATAATTAATTAAAATGTTAAAAATTGGCGTTTAAACAAACTCGCACTTTTAACATTGTCAAAAAATTACATCACTCTTTATAGATGGTGTTATATAAAAAGGATTTTTGTAAAATAATTTATAATTTAACAAATTGAACACGTTAAAATGTAAAATTATCTGAACAGACGTTACAAGTAAAAATTTTATAAAATAAAATGGGTGAAATTCCAAGAAATATTCAACTTTTTGTTCAAAAACCAAAACAACAAAAATATCCAATGCTCATGTTCTCTTGTAAGAGAAAACTATTATATAAAGTGTTTATAGAAAACATATTCAATGAAAAAGCAAGACAATTATCACTAAAATATAAAAAATGTTTATTTTTATAAAGAACTATGTAAATTTTGGAGAATAATAAACCAATATAAAAATTTTGTTGCCCTCACTTGATACCCTACATTCGCGATATTATAAACTCATATATAGCTTCCGGCGTCTTTCCGAAAGCTTGGAAAAGCGTTAATAAATTAAGCCGTTGCCCAAAATTAATAAACCGTCAGGTTTTAACGATTTGAGACCCATTAGCATCCTGCCTGTGCTCTCAAAAATTGCTGAACGAATCTTATATGAACAAATGGCGACCTTTGTGGAGGAGAACAACATTTTCCCACAGAATCAATCAGGCTTTAGACGAAGTTATAGTTGTACTACTGCACTTACACACATTATAGACGATGTTGTCTGGGCAACTGACAGGGGTAACGTGACTATCCTTTGCTTGTTGGGCTATTCCAAGGCATTCGATACGGTCGACCATGAGACTCTTGTATCAATCTTAAAGTATTTGGGGTTCAATAATAAGGCAGTATGTTTAATGCATGACTTTCTTTCGGAGAAAGAACAAACGATGTCTGTGAACGTTCAACAGTCTGATTTTCAGCGTATTGGGTCTAGGGTGCCACAGGTGTCTATACTGTCTCCATTACTTTATGCTGTATATACGTCAAACTTCGATCAACAGATTAAGTACTGTAAAGCACATTTTAGGCATGTGCACATATTAACAGCGATCTGCATTCCTTATGTGAGTTTTCTTACCACCATAGACTTAAACTTAATCAAATGAAATCGAATGTGATTATATTTGGTCCGAAGAAACAACAACAGATGGTCTTAAAAGAACTACGCAGTATAGTGAACAATGAAGTCTTGCCAATTCAGAAATCAGTTAAAAATTTGGGCATTGTGATCGATGAGAGTCTGAGATTCAATGAAGACATTAACAAGTGCGTTCAGAAAGCTTATAGCAGTTTAAGAATTATCTATAGCAATAGAGCCTTTGTGAATCGTAAAACAAAAATTCATGTATGTGAAAGATTAGTTCTATCCATATTTAACTACGGTGATGCCCTGTATGCCCCGTTTTTGGCATACATATTAAAAAATAAAATTCAAAAGGTACAGAATAGTTGTATTAGACTGATATTTGGTTTAAAACGCAGAGATCACGTAACCTGTAAGTTGGCCACTTTGAAATGGTTAGACATGTAGAGGAGAAGATCGCTACACATCTTATGTTTATACTATAAAATAATGACCTTACAAAAACCTCCGTATCTGTCAAAAAAAGCACGTTTTCGTGCGGACGTGCACTCGGTCAATGTTAGATTTAGGGGTAAATTATCTCCACGAATATTTTATACCGTAAGTTTTAAAAGATGTTTTTCATACCAGATACGCAAAGTAATAAATGAACTTCCTATTTATTGTGCATTGGCTGAGTGTGCGTCAATAGCCATTTTCAGAAGGCGCTATGCTGTTTTCTTATTTGGGCAGCAGTGTTCTTGACATTTATGCTTTGGTTTTTTTTTAATTGTGGAGAACCCTTTCGGACAGGTTTATTGGAAATTTCGAGGAAACTTTACTTGAAAGATTCGTGTAACTTCTTTTGATTTTTTTTATCGCTTTAGTAATTAACTTCTGTTTTTCTCTTTTGTTCTATGGTGAGGTGGAAGATCAGTACATATTGAACCTCATCATCAGTTTGATCATCATTTATTATTATTTTACTTAGTTTCATAAACACGTGATAGAAACGTGTATATCCGTGCTTTTGCATCCGTTCTCAAATAGAGAAGGCCGGCGCTAATTAATTAATATTATTTCAAAAAGAAGATTCAAATTCCTCTTTATTTTTAAGCATTGGAATGACGATAAATTAAAATGGAACGAATCCGATTATGATGGCATAGATTCTTTGAATATAGCAGCGCACGAAATTTGGCAACCGGATCTTAGTATTTACAACAGGTTTAAAAAAAATCTAATATTAAAAAAAATCAAAAAAATAATTATTTTCTTATGTTTTAGTGCTGGAAGTGTTGGAATCGCTCAATACAGTACACATTGTGTCGTTGAAAGTTCCGGTACGGTATTTTGGGTGCCCTCAACTCAATTCACAGTGCTTTGCAGTTTTAATTTATTATATTGGCCATTTGACAAACAAAATTGTTCGGTACTAATCGGTTCTTGGACTTATCACGGAAATCATGTCGATATTACAGTTGATAAAGACCATTCGGTTATGGTAATAATAAATGTAATTAATTTTAATAACTTTATAAATGTTCCTTCTTTTAGAGTAATCTTCATGTTAACAGTACGGAATGGGTGATTACTAGTTTAAAATATTTTCGGGAGGCTGTGTATTATCCTTGTTGTGAAGAACCATACCCAACGATAACACTTACTGTACTTTTACAACGTTTATCACCGTCTTATAAAGCTTTAATTATAACTCCAAGTTTTGGTAAGAAATTTTAATTCAAGATAAAAATTATTTAGATATTGTTTCTTCTTTGTAGTTATAATTGTTTTGACTTTATTATCATTTTGGTTACCACCGCAATCCGGTGAAAAAATCCTTTTAAATGGAGTAACAGCTTTAATTATAACAGCCTTTATGATGTACTTTACTCAAAAAATTCCAGCAATGGGAACACATACCCCTTTAATTGTTCTTTTTTATACAAGTAGTCTTTATGTAATTTGTTTTTCGTTGATAAATTCCGTTGTTGTTATTTGGATGTCGAGAACTCCACATGCAAAACCGGTACCATGGTTTATTAAAAACCTTCTTTTGGGAAAATTCGGAAATTGGATTGGATTATCAAATTATGTAAATCAAGTAAGATATTGTTTATTCAGCTTTTAGTATGTGTGATATTCATTTTATTTATTTAGAATTCAGTAAACATTCAAAGAGTAACCGCTGAAGAAATGCGTGATCATCAAGTGACGGATTTCGATGATCAATCTGATGATAAACATTTTATAAGAGCGTCATCTCCGGTAAATCACCAACAAGACTGGATAATGTTAGCTGTAGCCATCGATCGATTATCTTTCATATTTTACAGTTTGTTGTTCGCTATTTTAGCGATTACATATTCAATTTAGTACATATAAAAAATCATTTCATTTTACTACAAAAATTTATATACAAATTGTGTAATATATTAGCACACTTTCTGCTCAATGAAAATATATTTTATTCTAAACAACCTTGTTATCTTTCTTGACTTTTTTTTCTTTATTTTTGTGTAACATCTTCGCAAACCTTAGGTATATAATATGTTATATACATATATACAGTAGATTCCGATTTTAACGTATCCTCACTGTATTAAAAAGTGCATACGTTATATTAGGAAGTACGTTATCATAAAATATCACTTTGAAATTGTGAATGAGACATTAGACCAATCTTGTCTTGTCCTCGCGATTTATTCTTTATACAGATTTCACAACTTTTGTAATAGTTATTTATATTACAAGTGGGCTAGAAACATAATTACTGTACGAGTGTAGAATTGCACGACGAGGTCGTAGACCGAGTCGTGTAATCACACGAGTACTTACGTTTCATGGTAAGAAAGGAAGACTTCTGACATTCAACGGCAACTTATTAAATAGCTTTTTGTTTAGTGAGTGACCGTTAGATGGCACTAGTAGTTAAGAAAAGAGTCTGTATTATCGACCGAATAAGACGCATACGACGCACATAATCTATGGTATAAGGAGAGAATAAAAACCGTTAAGAAAGTGATTGGTTTTATTTTAAAATACGTAATAAGTAATATTACAACATGGTGGCAGCGGAAAAATACTAAATTTGGAGTTTGAGCAAAAGGGTCTGCATATAATTTCGCAGAAGGGTAAAAAAATCTTCGAAAAGGGAAGAAATAAAGATGCCAAGCGACAAAGGAGGTCAAGGTCAAGCAACGGGCCAGGAAAGCGGCGTGGTTCATTTACCATTAAATGTGGGTCCACCTGAAAAATTTAACTTCACGGAAGGAGGAAAATGGCCTCAGTGGAAGAAAAGGTTTGAACGGTATATGTCTGTGTCGGGGCACTCGAACCGGTCCGACAAGGAAAAAATAGACATATTAATGTACATAATGGGGGAGGAAAGTGAACAGATAGCATCCCAATGGAAGGAGCATCCTGGAACTTACAAACAGGCAATGGAAGCGTTTGGAAAACATTTCATTCCAAGATGTAATGTTATATTTGAGCGGTATAAATTCAACACCCGAATTCAACAACCCGGTGAGTCTGTAGAGCAATTTATAACTGCTTTGCATACGATATCAGAATTTTTTGATTATGGTTTACTTCGTGAAGAACTCATAAGAGATAGAATAGTTGTTGGAATGGCAGACAAGAGAACCAGCGAGAAATTACAGATGAAAGATAATTTAACGTTATCACGGGCGATTTTGTCAGCTAAACAAGCTAAGCTGATGGGCCAACAAGGGGTTTTTCTTCGAGATGGAACAAAAGAAGTTGCAGCAGTGATGCAAAAGGGTGGCAACAAAGGTTGGTTACGAGGGAAAAGTTATGGAAAACGAGATGAAAGGGGTTTTAAACAACAAGATGGTACAAAGAAAACAAATGGGGAACAGTCCGAAAAGAAGTGTTACCATTGTGGGAAGGAACCACATCCCAGGGAACGGTGTCCAGCCAGAAATGCTAAATGTATGAAGTGTGGGAAAATGGGACATTGGAAGCAGGTGTGCAAATCAGTGAAATTCATGGAAATGGAGGAAGAAATTGAAGAACAGCAGGAAGAGGAACAGAATTTCGTTGGATTAATGGTAGGTGGTTTGAAGACAACGGCTCAACGCGATGAGTGGTGTTGTTTGATTGACGTTGAAGGGTATGAAAAACCTATCAAGTTCTTAATAGACACTGGTGCTGATGTAATTTGCATGCCCGATACGTTTATACCAAATAGTTTTGGAAATTATAATCAAATCAAAGACATTATATCCGGACCAGACGGTACTCAATTAAATGTAGTTGCTAAGCTATTGTTACGGGGGATGGATTGCGCCGAAGAAGAAACAACAGTTGTTGAATAAAACGAAATAATTTATTTACAAAATATGTACACAAAAAAAACCCTCAAAGGTTTTTTTTAAGACGAAAGGGGTCGTCTTCGAATTGGCGGTTGAAGTGCTGGCTTGTTGTCGCTGTTATCGTTGTCGCCGTTGTTGTCGCTTCGGAGTTCGGTTGGAATTTTCCGCTGATGGAAACCCGGCCTCCTTAAATAGGCGCCCTTGGGTAAAACCCTATCAACCGGGCGTTGTGGTTGGTTGGCGACCGTCCGATTCGTAGGTCGGGTTGACGACCAATGGCCAAGCAGATCGAACGGCGCTCAATTCGTACTTGGTGACACTATCTTTAAAGTTAAGGTATAAAGACAAAGAATCAATATCAAAGGTATATTTTCTAAAAAATTTACAAATGCCTATTTTGGGTAGACCGGGGCTAGTAGGATTAGAATTATTAAGATTTGTGGGAAACATAAATGCAGGAAAACAATCGCAGATAGATGTTTTTCGTGAATTTCCAAAACTTTTTTCGGGATTAGNACATGTTGTCACTTGAGCTATCGTCTTAACTTATTTTTAGATGTTTTATTACTCACCAATTAAACAATTACTAGAGGTTTACACCTCTAAAAATTTGTGACGCCACTACAAAATTCATGAGCAAAACGGAAAGGTTGCTTAGTGGCACACAACCCAATTGGGAAAAATGTAAACGTGGAAGACCTAACCGAATTGACTGGCTATGTAATCGACGTAATAAGTAATATTACAACATGGTGGCAGCGGAAAAATACTAAATTTGGAGTTTGAGCAAAAGGGTCTGCATATAATTTCGCAGAAGGGTAAAAAAATCTTCGAAAAGGGAAGAAATAAAGATGCCAAGCGACAAAGGAGGTCAAGGTAAAGCAACGGGCCAGGAAAGCGGCGTGGTTCATTTACCATTAAATGTGGGTCCACCTGAAAAATTTACTTTCACGGAAGGAGGAAAATGGCCTCAGTGGAAGAAAAGGTTTGAACGGTATATGTCTGTGTCGGGGCACTCGAACCGGTCCGACAAGGAAAAAATAGACATATTAATGTACATAATGGGGGAGGAAAGTGAACAGATAGCATCCCAATGGAAGGAGCATCCTGGAACTTACAAACAGGCAATGGAAGCGTTTGGCAAACATTTCATTCCAAGACGTAATGTTATATTTGAGCGGTATAAATTCAACACCCGAATTCAACAACCCGGTGAGTCTGTAGAGCAATTTATAACGGCTTTGCATACGATATCAGAATTTTGTGATTATGGTTTACTTCGTGAAGAACTCATAAGAGATAGAATAGTTGTTGGAATGGCAGACAAGAGAATCAGCGAGAAATTACAGATGGAAGATAATTTAACGTTATCACGGGCGATTTTGTCAGCTAAACAAGCTGAGCTGATGGGTCAACAAGGGGTTTTTCTTCGAGATGGAACAAAAGAAGTTGCAGCAGCGATGCAAAAGGGTGGCAACAAAGGTTGGTTACAAGGGAAAAGTTATGGAAAACGAGATGAAAGGGGTTTTAAACAACAAGATGGTACAAAGAAAACAAATGGGGAACAGTCCGAAAAGAAGTGTTACCATTGTGGGAAGGAACCACATCCCAGGGAACGGTGTCCAGCCAGAAATGCTAAATGTATGAAGTGTGGGAAAATGGGACATTGGAAGAAGGTGTGCAAATCAGTGAAATTCATGGAAATGGAGGAAGAAATTGAAGAACAGCAGGAAGAGGAACAGAATTTCGTTGGATTAATGGTAGGTGGTTTGAAGACAACGGCTCAACGCGATGAGTGGTGTTGTTTGATTGACGTTGAAGGGTATGAAAAACCTATCAAGTTCTTAATAGACACTGGTGCTGATGTAATTTGCATGCCCGATACGTTTATACCAAATAGTTTTGGAAATTATAATCAAATCAAAGACATTATATCCGGAACAGACGGTACTCAATTAAATGTAGTTGCTAAGCTATCTTTAAAGTTAAGGTATAAAGACAAAGAATCAGTATCAAAGGTATATTTTCTAAAAAATTTACAAATGCCTATTTTGGGTAGACCGGGGATAGTAGGATAGAATTATTAAGATTTGTGGGAAACATAAATGCAGGAAAACAATCGCAGATAGATGTTTTTCGTGAATTTCCAAAACTTTTTTCGGGATTATGGACATTTGCGGGAGAAATAGAAATAAAACTTGAAGAAGGTGCTGTACCATTTATCCAAGCGGCTCCAAGAGTTGTACCTATACCTTTATTACCAAAATTGGAGTTAAAACTGAAAAAGTTACAAAAACTAGGCATAATAGAACCAGTTGAAAACCCTACTGGGTGGGTGGCTCCTATTGTGGTGGTTCCCAAGGGAGATGGCATTAGACTATGTTGCGATTATACTAAACTGAATAACAGTGTACTCAGGGCTCATTATCCGATACCAAAGGTAGAAACGACATTGGCTAAATTGGTGGGATCCAGGTACTTTTCTAAATTGGATGCTCAATCAGGGTTTTATCAGATCAAACTAAAAAAATCATACCAAGATTTAACGACTTTTATAACTCCTTTCGGGAAACCTCCCGCAAATACTCCTTTCGCAACGACTTTTCGGTAATTGAAGGATTTCTTTTAAAAAGCACTCGAATAGTGATACCAGCAAAATTACAAATAAAAGTAATTGATTTTCTGCACCAGGGTCATTTAGGAATCTCAAAATGTAGAGAACGGGCGAAAATGTCAGTTTGGTGGTTGGGGCTTTCTACTCAACTGGAACATATTATTCGCAACTGACCAAATTGCGTTGAACAACGGGTTAACCCGAAAGAACCGTTTTTGAAAGACGAATTGACAACAAGAGCTTGGGAAAAGTTGGGGATGGATTTATTCAAGTTTAGGCAAACATGGTATTTGATAATTATTGATTATTTTTCACGTTTTTTGAATTGTTTGCGTTGAAGGAGTTGGACCAGAATGAAATAATTGTAAAATGTAAAGAGACTTTTTCGCGTTTTGGCATTCCCGATGTGGTCCGTACCGATAATGGTCCGCAGTTTCAAGCTAGGTTTACAGAGTTTGCTAGAGAAAATAATTTTAAGCACATTACATCTAGTCCTTATTTTGCTCAGTCAAATGGGGAGGCAGAG